TAAAAGACTAAAGAGAGAAATATGAATAAATAAAAAATATTACGAGTAATATTTGACATATCAATACAAACACAGTCTCCCAAAACGAGCTAGCATTTTTTCGCTTCTTCATTACATGAAAGTTTCCTATGTTTTCATGTATCTTACTTTGCTCATAGCCGGCAACAAGTTTTCCATAGCTAATATTGCCTCTTGTTTTAAACTAGGTGGAGTACAATCATTACTGTATTTTGGTTATCGCTCGTCTCACTCTAACCATCAATCAGACCGACGGGAAATATTGCTTATTTTATCATTTTCACTACGAAAATACAAAAAAGACTAAAAACAGAAAAGAGTACAAACACTTAAGTTTATTTTACAGCCTTTTTCTTTTTTCTTTTTTAAATTAGCGATATAAGTAGGTATTTTTAATTACTAATACTAGGCAGTTGGCTGTATTAGTTATTTTTATTAGTGTTAGTAGATAGATTTAAAAGTTTAGAAAAGTTAGAAATGTTTAAGAAATATAATTTTATCATAACTTTTTTTATAAAAAGAAAACCGACCTCAAAAATTTGTGGAATTACATCTATTTGCCAAGTTTTATTGAAATCGGTTAACTTGATTCATCCCCTAGTTTGCCAACCTTACAGGTGGATTATTTTCTTCAAATTTAAATGGGACTAATACTAACGTAGCCTCATTCCATTAAAAAAAGAATCGTCAAAATCAATTAACAAATCGCGTAACATGCATACAAAAGAATACAGTCGAATTGAGAATCTCCTACTTTTATTAACTCGGTTAAAAAAGTAAATGACTATCATGCAAGTAAAACATCAAAATTTTCAATAAAATTAATAAAAATCTTAGATTTAAAATAGTGGATACTACATGAATCTTTATCTCGTTAGAGGCAGTAAACAGGATATATACATGGACAGGGTCATTTATAAAATACTAACAACCTTGCAGGAATATATTATTAACACTATAAATAACAACTTTTGTTCCATAACTTTTAATAATTCATCAGATTGTATTTTCGTACTAAAATAAAAATATTTACATCAATCTAAACTCTGTGGAAAAAACAGTTGCGCAGGGTGGGGGTCGTGGGGCAGGACGCTTGCATGTTTGAACTGACTACCGGATACAGATGTATAATTAATTGTTGTTTGTTGTACAACAAAAACTTTGAAGTTTATTTTTGATATAAGTATTATATTTTGTAAAAAGTCATGAAACAAAAGTTATTGTTTATGATGTTAGTAGTATCGATACCTCCAATTAGCTTTAATTTAGTTTTTTCTTTCTGTATTTTTTTGCACAAAATTTGTTTTTTGTTTTGTTATCGAATTTTGTTTTTTGTTTTTTATTTATATTCACAAAATTCAGGGAACCTAATATTAATAAATAAATATGGCTGTTTACAAAAATAACAGAAAATGACTAAATCATAAAGTTGGCGTAGTGTTCATTGGAGGTATCGATGTAGTTCTGCGAGGTTGTTAGTATTTTACAAATATACTTACGTCTCAAAGTCAACAGACAAAACGAAATTTATTATAAATTTATTTATTTTGCAAATTATAACAAATACATAATGTGACGAACGACCATTTACGTTATAAAATTTAACTAGATATATCGTATTTACATTTAGCTAAACTAATTTAAAAAAATAATAGCAGTGAATTCAATTTTAACTGTTTTAATTTAATGTATATCTTTAATTTTTGTTCTCTGAATTATTTACTTACGTAGCGAAAAATTATTTAATATTCAATACAGGTGAACGGACTTACAGAATAATTCGTATATTAATTTTTTAACTTACACTGAATTAAATTAACTAACTTACCTAAGATGTAAATAAAGTAATGAATTACTTATTCAATATAAAACTTTTATGCCTGTGTACATAAAATTAACCTAATAAGTATTTGAAAACGGGAATAAACGTGATTAATAAACGAGCTTAACGGTTTGACTTAACGCCTCTTGAGCAAAGGGTTTACATGAGTGTGGTTTCGAACCTTAGTTTTTCGGAATTTTTGTGCGAATTTTATTTTGAAATTTACTATGAGCTTGTCGGTGAACGAAAACATCGTGAGCAAACTTGCACACATCTGTAAAGCAATTTAATGATGTGTGTGAAGTTCCCAAGTTGCGCTGGTCCCGCATGGGAAATACAGCCCCAGCCCTCCCATTGAGAATGATCAAGTCAGAAGGCCTGTGCGCAGCAGTGGGACTACATATGGGGTAAATTAAACGCGATTGAACAATTTCATAGGGATTCTCACACCTGCCTATCGACTCCTCCTACGTAATCTATCGGAAGCCACAAGAATCGGTACAGTTTTATAAATAAATAGCATTTTTCTAAATGTAGATTGTATGTAATGTAGTATAGAATTGTATACTTGACAACTTTTTTATTAGAAAACCGACCTCAAAAGTTCGTGGAATTACATCTACTTGCCAAGGTTTATTGAGATCGGTGCGCGAAACCGGATTCATTCCCTACTTTGCCACCCTTAGAGGTGGAACATTTTCTTCAAATTCAAACGGATCAATACTAAGGTGCCTTCTTTTCAATAAAAAAAGAATCAACAAAATCGGCTCAAAAAGCCGGAGTAATCACGTAACATACTTGCAAAAAAATACAGTTGAACCTCATCCTTTTTTGAAGTCCGTTAAAAACAATGAATATGCTATAAATTTCAGTGCAATATTTCAAGAATCGCAGGTTGTTAAAGTCACTATTTATATAATTTAAATATTAAAACGTTGAGTTTTATTTGTATAAATTATTTATTTATTTTTGTAAATATAGCACTTAGCCTGACAATTAAGAGCAAAGCTAGTGCCGTCACATACAAATTTTATGTCTTTGACACAGGTACTACGCTCATTTTAGTGCTTTCGAACTGTTAAAACGTTGCCCTGTAAAATTGTGAATTTGGTCTTACGATTCTTTATGGAGCGTACCGGAGCCAACCTTACTAAACAGTCTTTCTGATTAAGTTATATAATATAGTTAGATAATAATGCTCCTCCCTATTAACCTCTTTGTTACATGGGAACGGCTCTTGTGCAAGCAAGCCAACACAGAGACCTTATAGTTCAGGTCCTGAACCCAGATCAACCCGTGGATTGGGTGGTCACAAACCGTTGTCACGGATTTCATCCCTTTCTTAAGAGGTTAGTGCCTTGGGTGAGCGACCCAAGCACCTTCGTACGTACAGCACCGTCCCTATTTCCCAAGTAGGTACCGGAGCGGTTGGCACACTGATTTCCTGTTAGCTCTAACTAAATTCAACTACCAACTCTCCTCCCTGGTGACAGAACTATAGGTACACTCACTTCCCGACGTCGAAGCGTCTCTGCAGTCCCATTATCCTATATAACCTAGCCGAATAGTCAGGATAATAGGTAGGTGTGAAATACCTATCAAACTGCTTAATTCCATTTATTCCCGTTTTCAAATGTTAGTACAATGCAACCCGTTTTAAAGTATAAAAAATTAGTTTATTAGAAACTTGCTTTTACATGGAAAGTGGAACAGTACAGGACTTACTTTGCGTCTGATAATTCCGTGTTATTATTTATTTTTTTTATTTTTCGTAGATTATTACTAAGAAAACTTGTATTGCAACAACATGTTACTTGCTAGGTGCTAATTGACTTGATAAATGACTGAAGACAATTCTATGTATGTACACAATTATGTATTCTTTAGCTTCTAAATAAAATGATATCCTATTCTTTGATGCGATATTAGACAGAAGCCTGAAGACAAATATTACGATAAATAAAAAATGAAGAATGTAAAATTACGCCTTTAACTTATACTAAAAGGAAATAAGGGTAAATAAATGCTAAATCACGATAAATTCAAACAAAATAATGCGGTTGTGTAACCACAATTATATTATAGTTACTGATTGACTTCATACTTCTAAAGTTTAAATTGTGTACAGGGTGGAAATTTGTAATGCCACTTGAAAGGAAAGTACTTTAAATACTGGAGATAGAAATTTTTACGTAAAGGAAATATTCCTTTATTTTTAAAAAGAAACAATACTGCATTCAAAGATTTTCGAAAATTGCTAGACACACGCGGGAATCGAACCCGCTAAAATCTTTTAAAAAATGCACCCTGTACTTTTATTAAATCAATCGATAGGGTCAATTATAAGGATGAAATCTCTCTTACAAACCATGAAATCTGGAGTTATAAATTCAATAGGTCAAGTTAAAGCACTTTTACTCAAACGTCCATTAGATAACTTGTTAATTATCGTTGACGTCATTTATCCATTAAAATGACGAAGTACTATTTAGATAGAAGATTGCAATTTGCACATGTTTGTAATGCAGACTCTTTGGTCAGTGGCTTGAGGTAATTTAAATATGGAATGTTTGAAAATGGATTGTCTTTTGTTATTTCCATTTGATTGTTTTTTTTTGTTGGTACAAACGGCACAATCAGATGGACTGCGAGATCACCAGATCTCACCCCTTTAGATTTTATTTTGTGGGGATATGTTAAAAATCAAATTTACCCTAAATCCTATGCGAGTGTAAACGAGTTCAGAATACGATTTGTAATACGATTCATCACAACACGTTATTAAAAGTTACTCAAAATGAATTCGTTGAAAGATTAAATTTGTGTATCCAAGAAAATGGAGCTCATTTTATTAAAATACGTTAAGATTTCATGGTTTTTTTTTTTTTTCATTTAATTAACCAATTTTGTGAGAGAGATTTTATTCTTATAATTAACCCTATCGATCGATGCAATAAAAGTGCAGGGTGCATTTTTTTCAAATTAAAGCTGGTTCGATTGCCGCGCGTTGCTAGAAATTTTCGAAAATCTATGAATGCAGTTTTATTTCTTTTAAAAAAATACACGAAAGTTTCCATTAAGTAAAAATTTCTATCTCCAGTATTTAGAGTACTTTCCCTCCAGATGGCATTACAAATTTCCACCCGGTATATAGTGAAGTAGGAAGTTTTATGATCACTACATGATCTTGTTTCTTATCTGAAGAACAATGTGCCTAGCTAGAACTTTAGACTAAAAATAATTTGGTTAAAAAATGTTTAATCTGCCTATTTACATTACACAAACACAAAAATATTTATCAATATAAAATTTTGTCTAAAAATTATCTTAACTAATCCTTTGGTCTTCTTGACTCAAGATTCGATAAAATTCAACCATTTCGGTAAAAGTTATGTTATCGTGCAAGTACAAACAAAGCACAGAGAGTATATAAATTACATCAACATAATGACTAATCTGTACTGATATAAATGTATGTTACGGCAAATACGATGGCATTAAAAATTGTATCAAATGTTAACAAAACATTCCTGCACCAACTCATAGAATATTTTATCTATCAAAGCCATCTAGCCGACTCTTATCATAATTTGTAAAACATGATTTGTAATATAGAATGTTTTAAAAATTTTGTTAACTTCGATCAAAAGCAACCTATGTACCTATTCTGCGACAGCGTTTCAAGGCATCCGGGCGTCGAGGATTTAAAACCAGTACTTATGTTGAATGGTTTTAGATAAATAGCAACAACGTCTCTTTCAAAATTGTTGGAATACAAAACAAATATGAGTACGATGAATTTCTATAGAATCCCATAAGAAGATTTATCCAGGTCAAAAGCACGTAAATATTTCTTTTTTTTAACAGTAAGATCACGCGCGACTAAAATTAGACGGAGTAGCTGCTAGTAGCCAGTCGATTATAGGCTGGTAGTTCCGCTGCATCCATTGCACATTGGCCTCTGTTCGTTCAAGCACCTGTTGCACAGGTCTTCCTAAATCGCTGCCAGACTCGTTGATGAAACGTTTCAACTGGAAAAATAACAAATTATTTCATAAGAAATGAACTCTGTGGTTAAGCATTTAAGTACTCTGTGCGTAACATTAGAAGTATGTACTGTATTGACCAGTTTGCCACCCTTACAGATGGAATATTTTGTTCAAATTCAAATGAGACTAATACTGTGGTACCCACTTTCCAACAAAAAAGAATCATCAAAATCGGTTCACAAAAGTTGTCACGTATGTATATACAAATAAAATATACAAGAAAAAAAACATACAGTGGAATTGAGAACCTCGTCTTTCTTTCAAAGTCGGTTAAAAAGAATATTTAATTCACACTTTCAGTTTATTTAGAATACGTTCTCTAAACTGGTTCTGACTTGGGTGTGCTACGTAGTGTAAACTGAAGTTCTTATAAATATAATTTAATTGATGGAATCAATTCTGAAGATCGTGTACAAATCTATGTTAACAAAAATGGAAGTAAATTAATTTGCTGTACTAATAAGGGTTCACAGATGAGCAAATTAATTTACTTACTTCAATTTTTATTGACGATCTTTTATTAAAGTAGTACAGTTAAAGCTTTTTCTAATATTTGTTATCATATTTTCAATATTTACCTCGTCATACTCATGTGGCTGATTTGATCTCCTCGTCACAGCTTTCACGATAGAGTTGAGAGTGGATATTGAACCGATGCTGTGTAGAAAATAAACAATTTAAACAGTGATTTTCGATTGGATACAGTCATAACTGATATAAAAAAAAGATGTTTTAAAAATATAGTCAAGCAAACTGCTTGAAAGAGAAATCATTCAAGTTCGTACATTTTTTCATAATACTCAGTTAAAATGTAGTAACAACCACCAGTCTCTACTGGTAGTTGTTACTAAGAAGTAGTCTCAAGAAGATAGAAAATTTTGAATAAATAATATTTATGTACTATAGCGATACGAACTAATCCTTAATTCTCTGCCAGTTAGCCCTGACGAAACCGAAAGCCAAAGGCTGGCCGATCGCAGAGCCACCCACTGCGGAGAATACTCGAACTGTATCTTGCTTTCGAATGAACGAGTCGTTTCGCAAAGACATCTCTAGGTATCTGAAATGACGAAATACAGTACAAATATACAGTAAAGAAGGAACAATCAAAAAACGTAATAAAATAAAATATACAAGATCCAAGCACAAACACAAAGGCCCTTTTTTTTGAAGACAGAGGAGGTCTAGCTAATCATAAACCTTACGGAAAATCTTTCAATTCATCTTTTTTAAATGAGCAGAATTTACCAAAGTAATAAAACCGCTAACAATAACGTTCGTTATAGTCACAGACCAAAGAAATACTGTTATAATTGTCAGTCGTTTTGTAACAAATTTCATAGGAATCTGTGAATAAACATGTAAATTTACATAATAGTTAATATTTTTCAAACCTATATAGTAAATATGGAGCTCTTGTACAGCCCAATACGGATAGTAATAGCTCTCGTTCAGAAGGTGCACTGGCCACCTTGAATCTCTCCCACGCAAAGTTCCACTCCCGCGTGCCACCAGCTTGTACACCAACACAGTAGACTGTATTTCGGATATCCGCATGGATACTGGAAAAATACCAAATAATAATCTTCCAAAGACTAAATAGATTTTTTTTTTACCCTCCTTTTTGCGATACCTCTCGTGAAACTTTGAATTTCGCCGTAATCTTTTTATATAACAAGTTAATTTCACAATGTCGTCTTTTTAGCTACTTCATGGTCTTGTTTTCATAAAAAAATATCGGGATAAGAGAGGAAAGTAACTTACTCATTAAACTTATCAGGATTTGGCGTAAACATCCAATTGGTGTACATCCGTACAGAATGCTCGAAACAGTCGGGGTGCTCTAGATGGCAAGCCGTGGCCAGCATATCGGCTCGGTGTTGAGCTCGAACTACGCTATCGTTTGGGGCCACATTCCAGCCTAAGTCTTTTACCACGCCGTCAACGAGACTTAGGACATATCGCTGAAAAATGCAATAACTTATCTGAAATATTTCTTATTCATTCAATATGACGTAATGAAATTGAAAATAGGTCCATAACTGGTAGAAAGTGTACTAGTATATGTTATAAAAATGTCAAAGAATCACACCAGTGACCTAGGTGACTAGGTGACAGTACGGAACACTCAGACCAGAACTAATTTAGAAACGTTCATTTTCCAATTGGTCTTATCGGGAATCGAACCCGTGTCCTCCACGCGCCTACAATGCAAACCGTATAGCCAAGGAGGCCATCAAATGATGTCTGCACGTGGGTTAAATACCTAGCTAAAAGAAAAATATTAATCCAGTTCATTTATCTGTACCCTGACCCAAATTTACTAAAGAAGATACCGACCTGAAAGAATGTAGGAAAACTAGAACTTATTCATAAGACACAGCGTTGTTTGTGAGTGACATGTACAATTTTTTTCAAGAGAAGATATTAAATAATAAATAAAATATACCTATAGAAAACACATTCAAAAAATTACTAGAAGGCATCGTTTTTGCACGTAGACGGTGTACCAGCCACCACTATACAGACCACGCAATATACAGCCAACAGCTAGTAAGGCGGTTAATGCAGTAATGAAAATAATCATTTTCTTGTAAATCTCGAATTACATATAGCAGACAGTGAGACTGTTGTAACCAGGGCTGTTGTAACTGTTGTAATAATTCATTCAAAATCATTTTTGAAAGTTTATCAGTAATTGCAAGATACTTTGCAGACTGCTGGGGTTTACAGTTTCGAACTGCGCTTCTACTCGTTCAGAATTCAATTAAATTAAAACACTATGCAACACATTTTAATGAAATAAGTAATTAACAGATTCAGGTGTTACTTTGCAGAAATCCGTGTTAATAAAAATGGAAGTATATTAATTTGCTACTCCTCGAACCCAAAACGATTTGAATTTGGGTTCGTTGAGTCGCAAATTAATTTATTTCCATTTTTATTAATGAAATAATTCTGAGTGTACATTTAGGAACACTTTAACCACGAGAAACGCACGATATGTTTTACAAGAAAGAAGCCCCTTGAAAACGATGATTAACTCAGAAACATTAGCATTATAGAGACAGAAAGATACCAACAGAAAATTAGATCTGATATATACTTGTAATCCGGGTGGATACTAGGTTAATCGTTATCATTTATATAGACACTCTTCGATATAATAACATTATATACTTAGGTTTACTAGGTTTATATTATATACCTATTACAAAATACCGCAAACAAAAATTTTCCATTACACCGAATTTATCAATTATTTACCGATAAATATCATCACCAAGTTTATGATTAATAAATAATCTATAACTTACAACATAATTATTAGCACAAATTATCGCTAAATCGTCGCTTCTGAATTTTAGTTTAATACAAGCAGCGCCATCTCTGTATTTGTTCGAGTACTATATGTAAGAAACAGAATTATAACAAATATTGTAGGTTACAGGGATAAGTTAAAATGGGTACCTTATATTCCAAATAATAAGCTCCTTTCGACAACATGGTATCAATGTATCCAAGAGCAACAAGTCCTGATTTCCAAGGGATGTAACTTCTCTCATGACTCAAGTAGCTGATTACATTCAGAGCCGTCGTGTAGTCCAAACGACCAGTCAGAGCAAGGTTCATAGCATCGTCGACGATCTGTGCACGATTGATTGGATGGATCTCTTGGAAGCGATTTGGATCATTCAAAACCTTGATTAACATTTGCCAGTTATGATTGTCGTAGTTAATACGGTAAAAACCTGAAAAAAAAATTGTCAATTGTGTATTGAACTTGTCACCCTTCGAAGTCGAATATTTTCTTCAAGTTTAAATGTCACCACTATGAGGTACCCCCTTTCCAACAAAAAAATTATCGAAATCCGTTCACAAATGTCGGAGTAAACGAGTGGGTTACCTATCAGTAGTCCGAAATGACATTTTCCAGAAATAACATTTGGTCGAAATTTCATAACCTCGAAAGTAATTTTGAGAGGAAAATGTTTTTTCTTTTAAGCCTAACTTAACCTAACCTAACCTAATCGTGTTCTTGCGATACACATTCAACATATCCTGAAAGAACAACTGTTTCGTTATAATTCGGTTTTCGGTGTAATGAAAATTCGAAGAAACGTTATTTCGGACAAAAACATTTTGACTTTGTCATAGGTTACCTCGAGTAATGGTGGCACTTTACATGGCTCTTTGAATTCGCTATTAGATATTTGTTGGATTTTGAAAAATACATGACGTACAGACACACTGACAAATATGACCGTCTAGACATGGAATCAAATAAAAAAGATATAACCATAGCGTGGACGATTTACTTGCGTATTTGACTATTTGGCTCCTTTGATGTGCGTCGAGAAATGGACTTGGTGTTTGGTGTATTTGTCGAATAGGCAAACAAGACAAATATTTTGGCACACATGCTATCTACACACACGGTACGGTTGTTTGCTAAATATATCAAATACGTAAATACAAATAGCCATGTGAAGTCCCACAATAACATACAAACAAAAAAAAAACATACAGACGCATTGAGAAACTCATATTTTGAAGTCATTTAAAAATGGCTCGAACACTGCTCATCTGACATAGATCATCTTAATACATCACTTAGGTAACACTTATTGTAGCTTATAATCAAAATGCAATTTATTGGGGTCGAACAGGCCGGGTCTGAGGTTCGGAAACTCGAGATTTTTTTTTATAATATCGAGGGACTTTATATAATAAAAAGTCGGGTCGCCGACCTAGAGACAGCGATCATGCGATCACCGCTATGGGTCGTGATTGGTTCAGCAGCTGTACATTGCCGTCCAGCGAGGCAATGCTACCAGCATAATGGAAACTTTTCAGCCGGGATACATTTTTTTGGGTTAGGAATATTAGAAGCCGATGAGCTCCTTGTGAAAAAGTTCGTCCAAGTAAGTACCTACCTTATCAGTTTGTGCCACCAAACAGGAATGCCAGCATTACTGTGTTCAGATTGTCAAGGGCAAGAGTGCTGGTGAAATAACAGGCACATGGGACTTGTCAACTAATGTCTCAGGGTGTCGGGCGCAGTGGCAGTGCCCCTCAAATTTTTGCGATTTAAAGCTCTGAGTGGCACTTCAACCGTTGTAGACATGCGTGTAGCTTACCATCAGGCGCACGACGACTTGTTCGTACCGTCACTTGATTTTATAAAATAAAAAATTACGAAATCTCCTGTAAATTCCATTTTTTGTATATTAGTACCTACTGACGAAGCCGTCGTAGTGCTGATCTTTCGGTTGTAAATTTAATTATTTTACATGTAATTTGTTAACCTATGAAATATACTACATATTTGACTTAACATTTAATAAGCAAACCCACCTGTTTGTTGAATATTCGCTATGAACCAGTCATTTTTATTGGCCGTGATATTTTTCATTGTTACGGTCTTCTCCCCGCGCATCCAGAACTTTGGCCTCGTCGCCTTGAAATCTTTTTCCGAAGCTGTAGTATAGGAGACGGGGATCCACCATACAGAAGATTTTTCATTGTTATCTGTGTTGTTGATTAGTACAAAACGTTCCTGGTAAAGTATAAGGCATATATATATAGGGCTGGCCAGAATATCCTTGCTATGAATGAAAAACGTTTATAAAATTTATTTCAAACTTTATTAGAATATGCATTGGCTACATCTACTATTTGTTTCCTTTTTTCGGGCAATAAATTGATTATTTTAGAATTTCTCGAAATTTGTAGAAAATGTTCTAGTCTTAAGAAATTCTAATGAACTTGAGCACGCTGGAAATTGTTTGAGTTTATAGTACGGACTTTTAAGCCAACTCATTATTAAGTTGCGTTCAAAATTTAGAATACCTAGAAATATTAACTTAACGTAAATTTTGAAACTATAATAACACTGAATTTCAAATGGTACGTAAAAGTCGTATTGAATTTATAATAGATGCTGCTGGATTTCAGGCCTTATAAATTTGTACAGAGCATCTCATATCTCTCTGTCTCTCATATTATTTTTTTATCGTATATTATATTTTAAATCGTCTATCGAATCTGTTTTATTACATTTTTAATCCATTCATAATATAGCAGAGTGGTGTGATAAGGTCTAATACTGACCTTCTAGGATACTCGTTCACACCATAGATTCCCTTTTAACTAGTTTAACGGTTTAATTTATCAGATAAACAACAAAATTTTATCAAATCCCGTATTAGACAAGCTTGACGTCTTTTAATAAATTTGGTCATGCCTCATTTCCTGTGAGATATACATTTAATCATTTTCATGGATTATGATAAACATCGCAATTGTAATCCCCTGACATCAATTTTTTTACCACTACTTCGAGAACAAGGTGTCGAGACAGCCTTGCTTTGTGAAAATGAAGGTTTGACAATGTCAACGAACAAACCTGACTGAACTGAATGGTTCCAGTATCGTAATTCCTGACAACATTAAGGACAGGAAATCCAGTTTGTAATGTCCAAGAATCCATAACAACAGCCACATCGGTATCGAAATCACCCACAGAACGAGCAGCACTGGTCAAAGCATTCCAAAGATCTTTCTGCTCAGCATTGCCAAATTTCTTCGCGTTCAAATAGTCTGTGATCCCCGTGTTGAATACATCATCGGTCAGGAAATGATTCATCATACGTAAGATTGCTGAGCCTGTGATTGTACAAAATAAAGTATTTAAAAAGTAACTGTAATATGGTAATCGATTCCGTGGCCGAACGGTTACCATGCCGGACTGCCACTCAGAGGTCCCAGGTTCGATTCCTGGGCCGGGAGAAATATTTGTATAGCCTACATTTATTCCTCTCGTAAGTTTGAGTGTAACTTGTGGTTGTCTATATGTGTGTCCATGGAACCCGCGACACAGGGTTTCCCTAGCGCGGGGCTATGTTGAGTGTGTGCGTTATTATTAAAAAAAAAGTGCTGAGTTCTTCCAAAAAGCTTAAGCTGTAATAACCGTTTTTCTGTAACTACAACGATTAAGGTAGCTAGCCTTGGCGCCCCTTCTCAAATTTATACCCTATATATATATTCTTAGGGAGATTGATTCGTGTCCAATTCTTCAACTAGATACGAATCAATCACACTCTATGAAGCTCTACACTATATTTGTCCCCTATTCATACTTGTACTTTTTATATCTATAAAATTATACATCACGCTTTATTTTATTCCAAACCTTACCCTTTCCATACGAAATCTTATCAAAAATAGCGCCTATCTCCTCTGGATTCCCGACTTCGACAGAAATCTGATGCGAAGATGTGAGCGCGTCAAGTTTGAATACGCTCTGCACTTCGTTTAAAACGAATATCTCCATCAGCTTCCATGACTCTTCCACCTGAAGTGACAAGTTAACAATGATTTGAATTATAAAATATTTCCTGGTGTGGTTAAAAATATTATGTTGTGGTTTATTATTATTTTATTATTTGCGGGGTTCCTAACACAAGTAATTTTTCCTTACAAGCAGCCCCAACACCGGACACTGAAATTATTTTGATCTAGTAAATAATTGTTGTTAAAAAAAATTATATTATTTGTATTATAATTGTTCAGGTGTAAAGCAAATTTATTAAGTACTTTATAAATTAGCTTGTTGTGTAAAAAACCTATACCATTTAATTGGTTTAGCTTTAAATATTATTTAGAAATGGAAAATCTGAAAAACCACATTTTTTTAAAAGAAGTATTCTACTTCAACTTCAACTTTTGTATCTATGGCTCCGTCGTTTTGCGCGACAATTTCGCCCATTGACTTACAATTATATGGACGTCGGGTCCGCGCTAAAAAGTGTCCACACTTGTAAGGCGCTAAAATCGTATACAGAGCGCGACACTCCGCTTTAGTCTTCATTTGTTCTACGGACAGCGCGATACTGCGATGACATAACAATTTAAATTTCGAATAGGTTGACTTGGGACATATTTTTCGTTGTTTTTGTATTAGACCCGTCGTCCATTTATTTGTAAGTCAATGATTTCGCCAATCAATTTTTCAAGTAAACCATGTGTCAATCATAACGTGTCAAACACAACAACAGTAAAGCAAATGAGACTGACACTGTCCATTTAATTGCCTTCAAATCTTTTTTAGTTTTCTGCGCATCCTAATTAAAATTGGGCACTCACAGCATCAACAGCGACATATTCAACATACGATGCAAATCCTTCATTCAGCCAGATGTCGGACCACCATGCTGGAGTGACCAAGTTGCCGAACCATTGATGTGCAATCTCGTGCGCTACCACCGACGCCACACGCGCCTTTGCTGTCGTTGGAGATGACCCTGTCTCGTATAGCATTGCTATTTCTCTGTAACAGGCAGATAGATTTTATTAAATAAATAGCTAGTAAGCTAGCATACTTGTTTAAAATATCTCAGTATATTGGTTAGTGTCCCCGAATTTGAAACCCAGTAATTGGTATAAGTGTTGTCTGTTTTGAACATACTCTTGTGTAACGCAAAGCCTCTAATGACTTTTAGAGAAGAGGAAAATGGGTTTTATGAAACGTGACATTTATAATGTGTTTATAATTGTTCACATTTGATGACGGTTAATAGAGACGAAGGGTTATAGAATAAGCCTGCGCCAACTCAGAATAATAATAAATAACAAAACCATGCTAAAGGCGCCTTCCAATTAGACGCTTATAGAAGCAATGCAGTGGCGCAACTGTGGCGCGGCAGCGGCACGTACTGCGCTTCCAGATATTGTATGATAATTAAATAAGCATAATAATGATTTATAGCGTTATCGCCGAGACAAAATGAGTTTAAAATTACAAAACAATAAACTTAAAAGTACAATACAATAACTTAAATGCACAAGTTTAACTTACAATAATAATAATAATATATGCGTGTAATACGCAAAAAAAAGGCGTGTAGCTACGGACGGAAAATACGGCCTGTAGCGCTGGTTCCCAGCATGCCCAATAAGAGTTAAACACGTGCTCGAGCGCAAACAATACGTACATACATAACTTGTTTGTGACATTTGGTATATACTACAATATTTACACTACATATACATATAATATGAATAAATAAATAAATAAAACGGTAATAAAAATAGTGGCGCGGCTACTGTGCCTCAGACACACCACTGCATTTCTTCTATAAGTGTCTAGTTTTTTAGGCGCCTTATAGTCAATTTAGAAACTTTTGTTCAAGCGAGACTCGTTTTGGATCCGACAGACAAACTGTATACACAAATTAGTATGACTATTAAGCTAAAAAAAGGGTAATAGAATCTTATTGACCTTTAAAAATTATTTTTTTAAATTAATATATTAAATTTAGAAGAGAAATTAAAGAGCTAGGAATAAAATCGCTGCGTCGAATACGTACGTACATAAATGTTATGTACGATATTTTTTATTAGAAATATTATTATTGTTAGCCGATCACAATCTAACAATAGGTAAAATAACATAATGGAATCACTGTAGTTTAATAAAAGAATGGGGTGGGTTGCGTGATTGGGCGCCACAACGGCGTCTCATCTCAGGGTGTCAATGCTTGAATGGTGCAAGTCATGGACGAACTATTGACAACAATTATCAAGTAAACTACAAATTATGTAGCTAGATAGTGCGTGAATCGATGTGAGTGATATAGAAAATGTCACTAAATGGTTAAATTAACATGTAATATTTAAAATTAAGACGACGAGGACAAGCTGTGCACAGACAGTAATAAATGACTACAAGAAAAGCCTAACTTTTTTTTACTGATCTTGACATAAGTATTATTTTATTTTATTTTTATAAAATACTAAATGATGGAACGAATAAATCGCTTGCCTGGTGGTAAGCGACATACCTGTCCATAGCAGTTGCAGAGTCTGTCAGAGCATTTTAAATTTAAAAGATTTAAGACACTGCTACTGTGCCCGTCGCCCCAAGACATAAAGTTGACAAGTTCCTTGTGCCTGTAATTTCACCAGCACCCTTCAAAACCGGAACGCAGTAATGATCACATTACTACTTGACGGCAGAAATAGGTAAAGTGGCAGTACTTCACTGGACGAACTCTTTCACAAGGAGCTATACTATTTCGAATCGAAAGTAACGCTTTTATCAAAGGTTGTAATTCTATATAACCTACTTTGAGCGTAAGCAATAACATGCTTTACATGTTTAATTTACTACATTTCAATAATACTTCTCTTAATTACAGGCAATCAATCGCAAATCACCTTCATACATGAATATAGGTATTTATTGCTTAATATTTTGGGATTTTACGTTGCTTACTTCGGTTCTCATTGATAATAACGAATTTGTTTTAAATCTTAGTTAAAAATATGCCTTTCCTCTATGAGTACTTGTTCAAAATTTACAGAGAGATTACGTTTTATATATTTTTTTATTATTAAAATTAAGAATTGTATAACAACAGGAAAATTGCAAATTTTTTAGTATGAAATTTATGACGTATGTTATTTTATTCACTATCTAATGGAGTAAAAGACATATTTGCCAAAATTCAAACTATGCCATTCTACCATTTGGAGTGTGATGTGATAATGTCTGTTTAAAGGTAAGTTTCACTTAGTACAATTTTAATAAAAAAGAGAATATTTATTCTATTATTGCCAAATTAAATGATTTGGGAAACACATGTACGACAGAGAAAAATTCAGTATAAAATACTTGAAACATGTCGACACAATGATTTAACGTATATGAGCTCTTTGATGATTTTTCGTAATGAAAAAACACAAAATTTTAATTATCTTCAGTAGCCAATTCGTTCAGATGTATTCAAAATGTGATGCTGGAGACCGATACTGAGAATACCTTGGACCACTAAAGGTACGTTTCTCAGCTTTAAATTGAGACTCGATTGTCCACCATATGCTACGAACGTATTCTTTCACATTTCGGCCACATGATGCATGGAGGCGAAGAAAATTTGGAGAAAGTGATTGTAGTTGGAAAAACGTAAGAAAGACGAGTTCGAGACCGTGTACCAACAAAATGGAGCGACCAAGGGAAAGAGTTTCGCTTATTCCAAATATGTTAATAACTCAAGCTCGTTGAAAATGGCGATTACATTAGTTATATTAAGCAGGGCAGTAATTTTGTATTTACCTCGACGTTTCGGACGTGTTGCAACATCCGTAGTCTTGTAACACGTCCAAAACGTCGAGGTAAATAAAATATATTTATACACGATTAAGTCTCGATATTAAATACTATTAAATAATGATTTTTAATAAGTTCCAGCTTTGAGGGATTTAAGACATTATCCCTTCAATTTAAATATAGCCCTCAGTCTAAACTATAGCTTCACATTTCTTGAAATTCTTCTTAAAATTTCCTATTAAAAGGTAGAAGTATAATTCATCAATTAAATTATTCAGTACTGTAGTATAAAGGTGTAGATAATTATCCAAAAGTAAACAAATTTCGGTAGGACTAGCACGACAAAACGCGACTTGCGCGAGAGTGACATAAAGCGAGAGACACTGCAATCATCGCTTAAAAATCTCAGGCTGTCGATCTCGCGCACGTCGCGCCCAGTCCTGCTGAAGGTCTAGCACGACTGGGCGCGACGTGCGCGAGATCGACATAAAGCGGGAGATCTCTATGCGAGAATATAAGTATCTCGCGCTTTATGTCGCTCTCGCGTAAGTTACGCCCTTTCATGACAGCCCTACAGATGTCATTTGGTTAAGCAATACAATAAAATACAATACAATATTTAGTATTGAGTTTCATACGTCGTATTACTGCTGTACTTTTTAATTTTATCGCATGTTATTAGCTGCCATCTCTTTAAAGGGCTGGATTTTAGGTTGTGAAAAAAGAAAGTTGTGATACGTGTTATTAAACATGTTTAATTAAATATTTATATTATATATTTAGTACTGTTTTAAACAGGTCGTTCGAAATATTGTCTACTACCTGAAAATATTATCATATATGTATATAGAACCATTTCCAAAAAGTTAATTACAATTTTACAATAAGTAACCATATAATGCCTCATAAAATACTACATTACGGTTTGTTTACATTTAGTGTATTACCTAAGCCTTTGTAGTTTATGAAAAGTCATGGTAATTTTTTTTTATTGACGCTAACGCTCGTAACTCAAAAAAAAAACTCAATAAGCACATCCCATTACACCCAAATGATGGATGGTGCGACCAACTAATTTGATGTCGCGTCTTTCTCGATATACTATTGATCATATGACTTCATTAAACTTTATATTACAAGTACTTGTAAATTGAAACCACTTTTTGGCGAAATTTTTTTCATAAAAACAGATTTAAAATACTAGACTTTCAAAATAGGAGGCATATGAAACAAAATGATAGTGACGGAGTGAAAATATTTGTGTTTTCCATCCGTTACTCTCATCTCTGGACTGTATTCGCACTTTCCATCAGGCGCGGTGCAGTCATTTTGCCGAGTCACAATAAAAAAAAAATCATTTACAAAATTTTTTATGTCATACTTCTTCTAAACTTTATTTTATATACTTTAAAAAAAATTATCTCAGGTCCCAGGATAAGTCCAGTCGCTCCCTCGTTAGATCTTAGTTATCTTTTCCATCCTTTAATTCCGATTTTTGTTCTCACTCCTTCACTGTTCATGCGGTCAGACTGTAGAATGCGCTTTCCATTACTGTTCATGATAGTAAATCCTAAGCTATTTTCAAAATGAGAGTTAAGGACCTAACAATAATGTATAACATATGACATTAAAAACCTAAAAGAATACTTTAGGGATTATGGAAATTCATGCAAACGTTATTTCGGGTAAATGTGTTTTCGGTCTTCTGATTCGTATAGCCGAGCCGTAGAAAGAGTACAACAATATTTGAAAGTATTACTAACATGTATTAAAAAATACTTTAATAAATACATTAGCATCAAAGCGACTCTATGAAATTTTTGTTCTAAATATTTCAAACGCTTGTGTTTCAAACAATTGAAATTGACGTGATGGGTCTCGTTCAGTCTTTTACGCAAGCAATGAGTCGGAAAGAGACAGTTAGCTATTTGATTATTTTGATTGCTTTTGTAATTTATATTTACGATTAATTTAAATATAAATTAAATACTATATATACTAGTGCATAAAATAACACTTTTAAATGATAACTATGATAACACAATGTAGTACTTATTGAAAATATGATATACCCTGTTTTTTTACTTTAGTTGAGTAATTTTTACAAGGTTTTACTACACAATACGGCATCACTGACAATCGCGTTGTCAGTCTAACAAACGAAGACTAAAGCGTGATTGACGCTCTGTGTACGATTTTAACGCCCTGTAAGTTCGGAC